TTCCCTTGCACAGAAATCAATTAACATTGGAACGAAGACTTTAATGAAAGACCTGAATTCTGAAATGACTAGAGAAAACACAAACCAAACACTCAAGATACAGCTTTAGGCAAAGGCTTTCTGAAAAGAATTCTGGTAGCATGGGAATCAATACTAGCAACTGAAAAACAGGCTCATACGAAATGTAAAATCCTCTGTGCAACCAAAGAAACAGTTAAGTAAGTAAAAACAAACAAACAAACAAACAAAAACAAAACCTGACAGGAGAGACAAGCTTTCTCACCTGTACTTGTGGCAGCAGATTAATAGCTAGAATATATAAAGAACTCAAAATACTAAATACTAGAAAACCAAACAACACGATCAACAAACGAAGAAAATGAGCACAGCTCCAGAAGCTGAAGTACCAAAGACCAACGGGCATTCAAGGAAGGTTCGATTCCTCAGCCACCAGAATTCACACCGAAACAACAATGAATCTCATCTCACCCCAGTCAGAATGGCTCTCGTTCAGAAAACATAAAGTCCTTTGAGGATTCAAGAATAAAGGAGTGTGTGTGTGTGTGTGTGTGTGTGTGTGTGTGTGTGTGTGTGTGTGTAGTCACTGGGAGTATAAATTAGCTTAGCCAGCATAGAAATTAATACAGAGGCGCTTCAGAAAAAAAAAAGCAAACTAAAAAAAAAAAAAATAGAATTACCATATGACCCAGCTGTACCACTTCCTGAATACCTGAAGGACTCCAAACCCATATACCCCAGAGATACTTGCATATCCATGTTAGGGCAGCATCTCACAATAGTCAAGTTGTGGAATCAGCTTGGGTGTTCTGTCAACAGAGGAATGGATAAAGAAAATGTAGTACACACACACACACATATATACATACATACACACACATACAAACATACACACATACACATACAAAATGGTATTTTGTTCACCAATAAAGAAAAGTAAATGATGGTGTTTGCAAGAAAATAGACACAACTAGAGATCAACAGATTAAGTGAACACAAGACAGACTCAAAAAGACAAATACTGAATGTTTTCTTTCATTTGTGGATCCTGGATTTTTATATAGATGTATAAAATAATATACATATTACTTTATGCATTTATTATATCGATATGGTCAAAGTACAGGATATACTTGCATAAACAGGTCTCTCTATTCACAGAGTATACATCCATAAAGAGGGCTGGAAACATGACTCAGTAGAAAAACACTCACTTGTCATGCTCAAGGCCCTGTGTTTGATCCCTAGCACCAAAATAATAAATATATAGAGAAAATAAAAATTATTTATTGCATTAAACAACAAAAAAAACCCTTGTGTGCCCACCATACAGTACACTCTCATCATAAGAGAGGGAATACATGTGTGTATATGTACATATGGGTATGGAACACATATGTACACGTCTGTTTATTTGTATACATATATATGTGCATAATCTAAAGTCTATTTAATGAAACTGACTGTGCAGGGAAAACACTGGATACCCTTGACTGTAAAGGCTCAGTTAGACTCTGGAAGAAGACACAGACACCCAATGACACTGGGTGACTAGATGAATATATTAATTACTTAACTAAATTAAATGGTTTATTTTAAAAATTTGGAGACTGAGTCTCACCACATAGGTTACACTGGGCCCCACCTCCCATAAGCCTTCTGCCTCAGCCTCCTAAGTACTGGGTGTGTGTCACCGTGCCTGGGACTTGGTTTTGTTTTAATGTTGTCCATACTATTTAGTTTAACAAGTGAGACTATTTTTTTAAAGTATCTAAGCCCATTAAAATATGGGTACATACATGGGACAACCTAGTGCTAGAGGGCCTCTGCATATCCGCTCCATGTGGTTCCCTTCACCAGTGATGGGTGCCAGACGGAGGGTAGTCAAAGCCCCTGTGGAGAAGAGCCCGTGGAGGAGATACAGAGGAGTGATCGGAAGCAGCACCTGGGATGTTGTTTAGTCTGGCTTCAACAGGAAGAACCAGTTAAATCAGGTTTCCTCCGGCCTCCAACCCAGAGACATGGTATGTCCTTGGCTTAAGACAATGACTGTGACAGAGAGGAGGAAGATTCTGCAGTCACAGGTGACCAGAAAAACAGAGCCCGCCACCCTCATCTCCAAGATCCAGAGACAGGAAGACTCAGGGTTCCCCTACAGAGAAGAATGGGGGCTACAACAACTCTCCCAGCTTTCAGGGACCTAGAGACCGAAGCTAACATGCCAGTTACACAATCACACCCATTTATGGGTGACAAGTCCCACAACAGTTGGTGGCACCTGCTTCCCGCTTCCGCCTGTCTTACACAGGATTCTCTGAGGGCCTGTCAAGGCCAGAGGTCCTGTTCTCAGAGCCTCTTGCCCCAGCAGCCAGTGGGATCTATTCTGTTTTGCTTCTAAATTATGTTTCTTCCACAGAATTAGTTCCAGCCAAACAGGGTTTAGGCTATCAAGTACACTCACAGGAACAGATCTGGCGAAGAGAGACCATGCTTTGCACCCCGAGAACACCTACAAAGAGGTTTTTGCTTGTCTTCTGTGGTAAGGATAGAACCCAAATCTTCTGCAAGCCAGGCAAACTCTTGACTTCTAAGCCACACCCCTCCCCTGAAATTTCTTAAGTGTTTGCACTTCCTCGCCCAGTTCTCTGTAGGTGATTGAGGAGTGATGCTGAGATGATGTGGTAACAGTCCCCTCAAGAACTGACGGAAACAGAGTGCTTGGCTCTCTGCTGGCTGCAACCTGGAAGTCTGCACCCAGGAGTGAGCAGAGGCCCCTGCACAGCACTAGAAAAGGAGCCCTCCTTCTTCCAACTGGGGTGGTTGCTGGGATTTTGGACATTTCTCGGCTTGTGCCTGCAGTCCTTGTCTCCCCAAGATGGCTGCCTGCCCCAAGGTGTCTGTTTTGACATGCTGCTCTCCTCTAGTACCAGGCAGAAGCTGTGCTGGGCCCCTACCACTACCTCATCTTAACTGTCTGCAGCCACCTTATGTCCAAATAAGGTCACATTCAGAGGCAGTGGAGGTCAGGACTTCATATCTTCCTTAGGGGACCCAACACACAGCCCAACACATGGGAGAAGACATTCAAAACCCAGTTTTGTTGGGTTCTCTTCAACAGGAGAGAAGGAGGTGTGCTGGATACAAGGACACTGGCCAAGCCCTGCTCTCCAGCTAGCCTGGGACAAGCCTAAGCAAACTTTCCCATCCAAGTGCTACCTAGGCCTGATCACACTTAGCTTCTGAGGCCAGGTCGACCTGTGCCTTGGGGGCAGTCAGGACCTTAGGCCAAGCAGACGGGGGCATCCCCTAAGCTTCTGCATTTGTCCTATCAGGACCTAAAGCTCGCTGATCTTGTGGCCAAGGACTATTTCTACTTTGTCTCATTCAATCCAGGAGACAAAATTTGAACTCTCCATTATGCCGATATTACAGATGGGAACTCAAGCTTCCAAGAGATGTAATTGTTAGCTCATGGTCATCCAGCAAGAGCACAGTGCTGAGGGCCCCAGGAGGTCCCTACTCCAGGACAGGTGGGGGCTGGTTCTGGAGACAGAGCAGGCAGGCATAAACTCTGGAGACTGGTCTGAAGGAAGCATCCAGCAGGAGCCTTACGAACTTCAAGTCACCGGCTGCCACCCTGCTCTGTTCTCTGGTGGGAGGTCAGGCCTGGTGCATTATTTTTGTGGTGCTGAGAACTGGACCCAGGGTCTGACCTACCACTGGGCTAGAAGCTGGCGGTTTTCCAGGATTCCTTGTCCTTTAGAGAGAAAGAAAGTCACTCGGAAAGAGGACGTTCCAGATATGGCTACACCCATCTTTTACCATTCCCTGGCCTTCTTCCCAATCATGGGAAGCCAGTTTTCAAAAGACCTTTTATATACAAAGCCCCCCACACCACCTTTTCAGAAGAATCCCAGCAACACACGCAAACAGTCCTGAAGACCCGGGGTTCTGCAGGACCGTCCCAAACGGCCGCTCCCTGCAGCTGCGAGCTCCCGGCTTTTCTGAGTGAGAAAATGGTTTGAAACCCACATGGCAACGTGGGAGGCCAGGAACAAAAGACTACCCCTTGTGATGGTGGGTTTCAATGATCATTAGAAATAGACATGATGATGTTAAAGAAGAGTTGGGGTTTTTAAACGCAATAGTCTCTCTCTCTCTCTCTCTCTCTCTCTCTCTCTATATATATATATATATATATATACATATATAATATATATACATATATATATATGTATAAAAGATTCCTGTCTTTTCGTACACTCTGAGATATTTCTGTTGAGATTCTCTGTCTGGCATTTGCTTCAAAACAAAGCCGCTGGTGAAAACCCTGAGGTTGGCGACTGTTGGAGGATATCGGCAGGAGGAGGAGGAGGAGGCATCCTTCTATAAAAACAGCAAGTTGCCAAGGCTCAGCCGAACTCTCTTCTACTGTGTAATGAAAGGGTTGTTGTTGTTGTTTTGGGCTGAAAATTCGGAGTCGTGTGTAACAAACAGGGGACTTCTGTGATTATTAATAAGGCAATGGAAGTTGAAAAGGAAAAGAAAAAAAAAAATCTAGAAAGGATGGCTCCAGAGGTTGACTGGCGCGGCACCAGGAGAAGGGGCGCACAGACAAATAGCACATTCCCCAAACGGAGTCACTCCCCAATTTGCCACCTTCTGTGGCCCCCAAACTGCAGAGTGGCTGACTGCATTTTGCTAAGCCACCAGTGCCCACCCGCCCGTCTGTCCAGGTGTCCATACGCCCGGCCTCTGGCACCCCTCCTCCCCCTCGGCGCAGAATCCGAACCCACAATCTCCATCCGCGCCCCCACCTGGGCAGGTAACTCACCGACTCCGCTCCTGCTCCGCCGCGCTCTGCTCTGCACGAAACTGAAAGTGGCCACTGGGCGCTGTTGGCTTGTTCATGGAACCCGCCGCCGCTGCCGAGAAATCACGTGGATTCTAAGTGCCAGCCCCAAGGCACGCGGGGAGGGTGCCCGGAACCCGCGGCCGCTTGGCAAAGGCAGACGGAGACGCTGGGGCGTGCCTCTGTGCCTGCCAGTAAGACAGGGTAAGGTGGGCATCTGCCCGGCGGAGGGTGGGGCCAGGGCGCCGCAGGACCCGCACAGGCTTACTTTCCCCGCCTCATCAGGAGGAAGGCAGGAGGAGCCACTGAGCAAAACTTCGTGGAGTTGGGTCCCAGGTCCTGACTCCAGGCTCCCGCGTGCTGCAGGATGACAACTGTTCATCACCTGAGCCCTGACCTGGACAAGCACGGTCTCCAGCTGTGTCTCCGCCAGATACTGAGGAGCCACAAAACCCAGGTGAAAGCGTTGCCTAGTTAGTCTGCAGAAGAAAGCTGGGGCGCAGAGCTGAGGGGGCGTGGGAAGAGGTGGGCGGTGAGGAAAGGATTCGAAGGCCAGGGTCAGTCCTGGAAACCACTGGCCTTGGCTCTGTTTCAAGTTCTACATGCTGCCCTGCCCCTTGTCTTTGTCCCAGAACAGGAGGCCAGGCTCCTGCTGGGGACGGCTCTGGCTTCCATACAGGGGATCCCTGTGACATCCCACAATGAAGCAACTCTCCCATGATTGCTCTGGGGAGGAGTGGAGAGACAAGGGTGCCACGTGAGCACGGATGGCAGTCAGGAGCACAACCATGACCCCGACACCCCAGGCTCAAATCCTCTTTAAGTGCTGGTTACATCACCCCAGACCAGTGGGTCTCCACCTTCCTAATGCTGCGACCCTCTAATACAGTTCTTCATGTTGTGGTGACCCCAAACTATAAAATTATTTTTGTTGCTACTTCATAACTGTATTTTCGCTACTGTTATGAATCAAATGCCGGATATCTGATATGTGACGCTTGTGAAAGGACCGTTCAACCCCAATGGGTCGAGACCCATACGTTGAGAACCACTCTCCTAAACCAAAAACCCTGACTCCCCAAGTCTCAGCTCCGGCATCTGTCTTGTGGCAGACAATGACCGTAGCACCTTCCCATTCCTCCATGAGAATGCAGGACCAGAAGTTACAGCAGATGTAGCCTGTGCCAGAAACGCTTAAGAAGCCCTTCTACTTCTATTCTCTTCTTTGGGTCTTGAATTCCTGTGACCTCTAACCTCCTCCCTCCCAGGACCAAACCAGGAATGTAGAAAGTTCTTGACAGGCAGACGCAGGTGGCATTATTTTTGCGGTGACTACTTGGCTGTGACTCCCAATTTTCCCACCCCTGCTGGTTCACCTTTTAACACACGCCTTGATTTTAGCCAGACTCCGTTTCCTGTTGTCAGGTGGTGGAGTCCCCGCCTGTGGTACATGGTGGGATGTCAGCTGTGTGTGTGAAAGGAATTACAGTCCAACCAACAGTAGGACTCAGCTCACATTTCTCCAACCGTTATGCGTGGCTGGACCTACACCTTTCGGTGCTGGCAGAGGGGTGTCAGTGGATTCAGACAATTAGCCGCCACCCAGAAAGACAAGCACAGGCCATATTTAGATTCACTTAAACCCACAAAGCCGGAAGAGGGGGCAGGACACAGGTTAACATCTCATTAGGCACAAGGAGAAGATCCAGAGAGGTCGAGAGTCAAAGGCCATGTGGCAATGAGAACTGGATCTTGTGAAACCAGCCCGCCAAGAAGGGTTCTGGAAGAACTGTTTTCCCAGACTCACCAGCGTTCTCTGCCTGTGTTAGAAGCCATTATCCTGTGAGCCAAAGTGCTACCATCTTCATGAGATCAGAAGGACACCGCATTGGACCTTCACCCGAGTTTCCGGCCACTCCTCCCAGGCAACTCTGCCCTAATTGCCTAAGGTCTCTAGAAAGGGCAAGAGTGTACAGACTGTGGAGGACTGGGGAGGACGGCTTCCCTATGCAGCTTCGGGGGGCCATCATCCATGCTGGGTGAAGACGTTCCAGTGCGGCTGCTTTGGGGTCACCAGCGAGTGCTCTGTAAGTAAGCCCAGTAAACTCACTGGTTCCCCAGGGTGAACTGTGGTGAAACAGTATTTCGGTTTGTGTCAGGACCTTGGGAGGAAGAGGGACAGATGTTCTCATCTCCCCAGGGAAAGACTTTTCACAACAGCCCAACCAATGGCCTGAGGCCTCCATCAACACCAGGTTCCTTTGGCCAAAGTGCACACGGTCCTTCTCTGGTGAAGCTTACATGGTTATCTGCTTTGGAAAGCCGGGGGGCCCTTGTGTGTGAGAACTGGCCCAAGGTGCTAGGAGACTGAAGAAAGGTGAACAGACCCAGGCCTGGACAGAGTACAGTTTCCTGGGGACTTATGGATAAAAGTATTCCGGGGGTAGGGGTGAGGGCTGGAGAGATGACTCTGCTCTTCCAGAGGTTCTGAGTTCAATTCCCAGCAACCACATGGTGGCTCACAACCATCTATAGTGGGATCTGATGCCCTCCTCTGGCATAAAGTCGTAATGAGGATAGTGTACTCATATACATAAAATAAATAAATCCCCCCCCAAAAAAAGCATCCCTTGGATGACTGTAAGACAGATGGTTCTCCACACCCCAAGGAGGTGGGAAGTGTTCCTTGTTTGGCAAAATCATCCTCCACTCATCTTCCTAAGGCCTAGTCCCAACTCACCCTAGTGCCAACAGCTGTGGTGGCAAGATATACTCTCAGGGCCCTGGCGGGGGGAAGCACTGTTTGCTGTCTGGATAGAGCAGAAGGCTCAGCTTCCAGGCAATGGATTCTAATCGGGTCTGCCAGCATCTGGCCTGGGCCATGGTTGTCCTGATCTTTAGAGATCAGCCCACGCAGAGCTTCTGAACTGGGAGTGGGGGGTGGGGTGGGGAGCAGGTTTGTGGGAGAGTCTGGCTGTTGGCTTCTGTTCTAAGAAGCCTCTGCTCTCTGAGCTGCCATAGGTCCTGCTACACGCTCTCCTGGCACCTTTTGGTGACCTGTAAGTGCCCCCCACCCACCCACTGTCACAGGCCTGGAGACCTGTTCTACAGTGACAGAGAAGGTTACTGGCGGGCTACATCTGCTTTCCATTATGGCTCAAGGATTCGTTCCAGGGTCCCAGCTAGGGTGACACTCTGGAGGACTTCTCAGAATGCCCTTGGCGATGCAAGAATTTCTGGGCAGGGGAGGGGAGCTGCCTGGGTGGCAAGCTCTCCCGTTTTTGCTCTGTGGCATTAAGGGAAGGCCTTAGGCTTTGGGGGGCCCTTAAGGGAGAAGTTTTGGTCCACTGTGGCTTCTAACAGGTTTCGCTGCCCTAGAAGACAACAGTGTAAATAAAGCCTGGAATTCCCTGTTGGACATCTGGGGCTGGTGCACGCTTTCCTTTTCTTAAGATTTATGTTTATTTTATGTGTAGGAGTGCTTTGCCTGTATGTATGTGTGTATATATATGGTACATGCTTGCCTGGTGCCCTCAGAGACCAGAAGATGGCATTGGATCCCCTAGAATTGGAGTTAGGGGCAGCGGTGAGCCACTATACAGATGCTTAGAGCCAAACCTCTGCTAGAGCAGCAAGTGCTCTTAATGGCTGAGCCATCTCTCCAGCCCCTAGAAAGCAATTTTGCAGGGGGCCTTTCAAGAACCGTCCCCATGTTCCTGGCTGCTTCTGGTCTCAGACTCTCGCTCTGAGATCGAAGGGCAGAAGAGAACAAGGATAGTGTGGGCTGAGGCTGTGAAAAAGAGGGAGGATGTCTGGGGCTTCCTGCCAAACAGTCTAGCCTACCTGGTGAGTTCCAGGACAGTGAGAGACCTGGTCAAAAAGAGATAGACAGCTTTTCTGTGGACAAGTGAGTTCACCGTCTGGCCTCTACATGCAGGCACACACACACACACACACACACACACACACACACACACACACACACACCTGCACACATATGAACACATAGATTCATGAATGCATATACATGCGTTTTTAAAAAGTCAAGTTTACGGGGCTGGAGAGATGGCTCAGAGGTTAAGAGCACTGGCTGTTCTTCTAGAGGTCCTGAGTTCAATTCCCAGCAACCACATGGTGACTCACAACCATCTACAATGAGATCTGGTGCCCTCTTCTGGCCTATAGGCTGAACACTCATTGTATACATAATAAATAAATCTTTAAAAAAAAAAGTCAAGTTTACTTTGCTCGCGGTAAACTTAATAGCCTTTTCTAGAGGCTGGAAAGCCCTAGAACAGTGGTTCTCAGCCTTCTTAATGCTGCAGCCCTTTAATACAGTATGTTGTGGTGACCCCAACCTTAAAATTATTTTGTTGTGCTGGGCGGCGGCGGTGGCACACACCTTTAATCCCAGCATTTGGGAGGCAGAGCCAGGCGGATCTCTGTGAGTTCAAGTCCAGCCTGGTCTAAGAGCGAGATCCAGCACAGGCACCAAAACTACACAGAGAGACTCTGTTTCGAAAAACAAAAAACAAACAAACAAAAAAAATTATTTGTTGTTCCTTCATAATTGTAGTTTGCTACTGAGTGGTTTTTCAGTTCCTAAAACCATAAGAAAGACCACAGACTGAGAACTGCTGTCTTTGAGTACGGCTTTAAAGAAGGCATCACACTGCTTCAACTCCCAGTAGAAAAAACAGGCACAGAGGCACAGATGGAGGGGCCAGAAGGCAAGGGTGGCCCAGCTTTCTAACAGTCTGCTCTGGGAGTCACCAGTGCACTCCTGATCGATCAGGAGCTCACGACCCTTCAGCCGAGTCTCTGAAAAATCCCTTGACTCCTTCTCAAACAGCCAATCACTTCTCAATACTGCCACAACGTGTGTTCTGAGGGGTGGGAGACGGCAGGACAAACCACCCCACTGGGCCAGTGTAGTGGTCATGCCTGGAGAACACCTTCCAGGATTGAGATGGAAGAACCCTTTGTGCTGGAGCCTAGGGGTGGGGAGGACGGGGGGGGGGGGGGGGGGGGGGGGAGGCTAGAAGTCTGCCAAGAGGACCTTCTCTTCAGCGTTAAAGTTGAGTTGAGTTGCCTATTCAGGGCCCTATCTTTCTCTTCAGTGGAAAGGCAGACTTCTACAAGGCCCTTAGGCTCCCTACCCACCTCGGAGTCTCCCATCCTCTTCACTTCCTGCCTCCCTCACCCTGCAGGGTGGGAACCACAAGGAACGGGATGAATCAGATACTCCATTTGGACTCAGGCAGGAAGCTAGTCAGAGGAGGGGATGGGAACTTCGATGAACAAAATGATTAGTGTGTCACCAAGTTAGGGAGTGACATTTCCGGACCCCACATGTCCGCTCTGGCTCTAGCATCTTTTCTCATATGGCTACTTAGTAAATTCCTACTCAGCCTTTAAAATGTGACTTAAATAGCCCCTGTCCCTGGCTACTAGAAGATGAAGGTGTGTGTTCAGGTACAGCTTCCACCCTGGCTGTGATCTTCCCTGGTATGAAAGCCTTCTGTCCATCAAAGTAGCTGAGTCAGGATTTGGGCATTAGGACTTCACCCAGGCTTAGCCATTTAGGACTTTGTACTCTGTAGGGGGAGTGGACACCTGCTGGAATGGAGTATTCCTTCTGTGACATCTGATGACATCTCAGGTGTGTGTGGGGTCCCTGCTGCTTGGGCAGCACCCCAGGATATCACTGTAACAAGTCTGTCACTGTGGTATTCTGCTCAGCCTCTGAACTACTCACACTCCCCACCAGTTGCCTTTTCTACTCTGTATCCAGATTAGAGTATGTGCCTTGCTCCTGAGGAAATGCATGGGTGTGTTCTGTGTGTCTTGGCCACTTGGTGTCCCTCAGGCTTCCAGTCTGAATCAAGGCCCTTGGGTGGTGCACATATGCTATGTGAGCTAGGAAAGAAGTTGCTAGAGGTTGGGGGTGATGTCCACAGATTCCATAGCAGATGGCCCTGGAGGGTCGTAAGTAGGGGTGCCTACCAGAGGGGCATTGTTACAGATTGATTCAGCACATGGGCATGGTGGGTAAGACGTGTCCTTCCCATGCTCTGTCCCCTTGTTCCCCTTCCTAAGAAGGACATTCCCAGATCCTGACAGAACATTTAATGGCAGCAGGACTTAAAAATTGGGAAGGCAGGGAGCACTCCATCTCCTTGCCCCCACTCTGAGCCACACACAAGAGATGCCAGCATTCGGATGGTCCTGTTCCATTGTGAGTTGGATGCATGCCTTTGGTCCCAGCCCCACTGGCCTCGTTTCTTAAAGCCTCCTAGCTCAGGCTCTGCAGGAAGTCCACCAGCAGGTGCTCTGGGAAGCCGAAGTCCATCTGCAGCATCAGGAAGCCCTGCAGGAGACAGGGGCAGGCTATGATGGCTCCTGGGCCGCCAGGAGAGAGCTGCCTTCTAGTAGCTACCGATCACTCCAAGGTGGCTACCCAGTTGACACAGTCTAGAGTCGTCTGAGAGAAACCTCAGCCAGGAATGACCTAGATCAGATTAGCATGTAGACATGTCTGGGTGGGGGTGGGAGGCTGTCTTGACTGTTAATTAATGTAAGTTGGCCCAGCACAGTGTGGGCAGCACCATTTCCTGGGTGGATTGTCCTGGGCTATATAAGACAGTTATCTAAGTAAGCATGAGCCTGAGTGACCCAGCAAGCGGCATTCCTCCACAGTTTCTGTCTCAAGTTCCCCGCCCTGACTCCTACAGTAATAGACTATGACCTGAAAGCTGAAATGAACCTCTCCTCCTTTGAGTTTCTTTTGGCCGGAGTGTTTCATCACAGCACAGAAACCAAACACGAACAGCCGTCTGACTGCCCAAGAGATGGGGCTAGGGACAATTTCATACTCACATCACGAGTGATGATCTCGGGGTTGATGATGTCGAAAAGGTCCAGGCCTTTGCTGTTCATGAGGGTTGTCAGTGCCACCTCCAGCCCTAGGCAGGGGAGGGAGCCAAGTCAGCTCATTTTTAGGGAGCAGGGCCAAGCCCCAGGCCCTGGTTGGAGCACCTGGACAGCCCCAGAGGGAAATGTTGGAACTGATGGCGTTAGGTGAGCCTCTCTTAGCCTGCTGCTGCGGCTCTCACTCCCTAGTGGTCACGCCCCACACCCGGAGCTTCTCAGTGCTCTTTGTGGTCACACAGAAAATCTCCCTATCCATCTACTTCACCATCTGTGGTATTCATTTGTTTAGTTTTTATAGTACCAGTGTTTGAACCTGGAGTCTCACAATACTAGTTTCTCTCTCTCTCTCTCTCTCTCTCTCTCTCTCTCTCTCTCTCTCTCTCTCTCTCTCTCTCTCTCTCCCTCTCCCTCTCCCTCTCCCTCTCCCTCTCCCTCTCTCCTAGGTCTCGCTAAGTTGCCCAGGCAATGCCTAAACTGCACTTGCTCCATAACTCAGACAAGGGTTCGCTCTTGCGATCCTCCTGCCTCCAGCCTCCCAAATAGATGTCTTTTTTTTAAAATTTTATTTATTTACCTTATGTATGAGTGCTTTGTCTGCATGTACACCTTTATGCCAGAAGAGAATATTAGATCTCCTTAGAGATGGTTGTGAGCCACCATGTGGTTGCTGGGAATTG